CAAGTGCCAGTGAGGATGTGGAAATATTGGAACCCTTGTGTACTGTTGATAGGAATGTAAAATGACACAGCCACTATGGAAAATAGTATGGAAGTTCATTAAAAATTTAAACATAGAATTACTATATTACCCAGAATCCTACCTCTTGGTATATAGCCAAAATAATTAAAAACACAATCTCAAAAAGATATTTTCACACCCATGTTCACTGTAATAATATTCAAAATACCACACTTTCTTTAGCCATTCATCAATCGACATTTAGGTTGCTTTGACTTCTTGGCTATTTTGAATATCTTACAATTAATGGTGAAAGACTTTCCCTCCTAAGGTTGAGAACAAAGGAAGGATGTCAACTCACTATAATGCAAGGTCTAGCCAGTGCAATAAGGCTGGAAAAAGGAAATTAAAAGGACATAGATCAGAAAAGAAGAAATAAAACTGCCCCTACTGGCAGATGACATGATGATCCATATAGAAAATCCTAAGGAATCTAGAAAAAAATTCCCAAAACAAGTAAGCAAATTCAGCAAGGTTATAAGAAAAATGATAAACATAGAAAAATCAGTTGGTTTTCTACATATTAGCAATAAATACATGGACATCAAAATAAAAAATCCAATATGATAATCATTCAAAACACAAACCTAGGTGTAAACCTAAGAACATGTACAAGGTCCACATATTGAAAACTATATAATCCTGATGAAGGAAACCAAAGATGTAAATAAGTGGAGAGACATGCTATGTTCATGTATTAGAAGACTAAACAAAGAAAAGATGTTTATTCTCCCCAAATTGATATACAGGTATAATGAAATTATGATCAAATTCCAGCAAGACATTCTGCAGATATAGATAACATTATTCTAAAATTTATCTAAAAAGGCAAAAGGACTAGAAGAGTTAAAACAATTTTGGGAGAATAAAAGAATAGAGAAGGGTTTGGAAATGGACCCTCATAAATACACCCAACTGATTTTTTGACAAATATTCAATGGAGGAAAGATGGCCTTTTCAACAAAAGGTGCTGGAGCAAATGGATATCCATAGGCCAAAAACAAAAAGAAGCTCAACCTAAGTCTCACACCATACATAAAAATTCACTCAAAATGGATCATACTTAAATATAAAGCTATAAAACTTTCAGGAAAAAAATAGAAAATCTTCAAAACTGAAGGGTAGGCAAAAACCCAAAACACAATCCATAAAAGGAAAACTGATAAACTGGGCTTCATCTAAATTAAAAACCAAACCAACCAACCAAACAAGAAGGTCTTAGAAATTAAAAAGCCTGATAAATAAAAAATCCAACAGGACAGTTAAAATACAAAGCTGAGGAAATCTGCTGGGATGTGGAAGGAAAAGGCAAAATGAAATGCAAAAGGGAGGGGGAAAAATGAGAAAATCATTTTAGCAGAGCCAAAACCCAAATATAGCAATGTCAGACAAAGACAGAAAATGAAATCAACAAATGAGAAAACTAAAACTCTATACAATGCAGGGATATTAGTCTCCAAATTATATCAGAACACCATTTATTAACAAATAATAAGTGCACACAGAAAGGTACACCATCAAAGTATTTCAGAAGACTGTTGTGGGTAAAATTGTAACATTTCCAGAATATCTCGCCTGACTTTGGTGTATGTGCACATCCTCAGGGGTGGAGAGAAGTTTATCTCCATGTCAATGGGATATTACCTGGGCAACCAAGGGCGTGTCTGAACCTGAGAGGTTAAGGGGAGGGGTTTGATTGCTTGCTTCTTCCGGAGCAGGGGAGAGAGAGGGCGCTGGACTGCAGTTTGTAAGCAATAAATGGGTTTTAAACTTTATTTCTCCCTTTGAATGATTTTGGTCTTTAGAGGGATTTTGCCCCAGGATTTCTTCTCCCCAGACTTACCCTTTGAATGATTTTGGTCTTTAGAGGGATTTTGCCCCAGGATTTCTTCTCCCCAGACTTACAACTGTAAATAAAGGGAAAGTTGATAAATTTCTGAGGAGAAAAAAACAGGTCACATCCAAAAGACTAGTATTAGAATGCCTCTGAACTTTCCAAGAACAACAGTGAAAGCTAAAATACAGTTCAGCAATGCTTTCAAGTATCTGAATGAAACTATTTCCAAACAAGATGCTGGAGCAGATGAATATCCATAGGTTAAAAAACAAAAAGAAGCTCAACCTAAGTCTCACACCATACATAAAAATTAACTATGATTGAATTTTATACACAAGCTAGTAGAGCATAAAATAGAGACACTTTCAGACCTGCTAGGTCTCAAAATTTACCTACCAAGCATCAGGAAGCTCCTAGAGGGTAAGTTCTATCAAAATGAACAAATAAGGCAAAAAGAGGAGCCAGAAAAATCTAGCAGCAACAAAAAAGGTGCAAAGAGAAAGCATAAGAAATTCCAAGGCAGGGCTGTAAATGAGGCCCAGACAGCAACCAACACAGAGTCCATCAAGTCTGAAGATAAAATGGACAGAATACACAAATCCATTTAAAAGTATTTTTTAAAATGATTTATACAACATAGGGAGAGTTTGGGGTTATACTGCTGAAAAGTACACAGAAAACTAAGACTGAAAAAAGACTATTATTGATTTTAGTGAAAACAGAATTATACAGGAAAGGAATAGTAATCATAGTCCACTAGGAGAGACAGTGTTTTCTTACATACTAATGTAAAAACTAATACAAATACAACTCACGTTATATTACAGCTATTTTAGAAGAATGGGAAATTAGAATATTACAAGTTTTGGGGGAGAAGGGTGTACAGGGATGAAAGAGAGGTAAATGGTTACTTTCCATAGTACATCATGCCTAAAATGGAGGAAAATCAGGAACTATCAATATCTGCTGTTACTTAAAAATATACCAAATGAATCAACTAAAAGTGGTTGCCTCTGGGGCCTGAAATGGCATAAGAGGGACCCTCAGGGAATTGGCTAAATTTTTTTATAACAAGCTTTAGTTCACCTGTTAAGAGTATTTGTTTTGAAAAACATATAAACTAAATTAAAAAGAAAACAAAAACTCTACCAGTTAATACATGGCTAGGCCAGAACTTGCACCTGAGTAATTTAATTCCTAATCAGGTCCATTAATTTGTGAGCTCCTAAGGGGAATGGGTCTTCTTAGTTCCTCTGCTCCAAGCCTGCCTAGCACAAAGTCAGGCCTCAAACATGTTTCTGAATGAGTGGGAGATAAGTTAAACAATGGGATTACTTTTTTGATACTAGACAATGAATGAGAAGTGCATTCCAGGCAGAGGAAACAGCAGAAGCAAAGACAGGAACCAGAGTGCTTGAGAACTGAGCTGGGAAGACGCTAGTGGAGGAGGAATAATGAGCAGCAGCCAGAAAACCCACTGGGTGGATGTGGGGAGATTTGCACAGTCACTTGGAGCTGTATGGCAGGGGGGGGAAGAGGACACTGGTGCCGTGTGGACAGATCCACGTGGCCTTGATGTCTATGAGCTTTGGAATTTTTTTGTTTGTTTTGCAGTAATGACAGCAATACTATTTCTACCAACAATTCCTTTCTAAACTGTTTTAGCTTTTTGGATCCAAAGTAGAACCAGTTTCTCTAAAGTCTTGAGTTCTTCTTTCAGTAGCCCAACTACAGTACAACTAGTTACTCTAATAGCCAGTGAAAGGACCACCCCACAAGGGGTGGGCAGGGACAAACAAAGCCTGGTAGAATCCCTACAATGCCACCTTCACCCACATTTTGGGCCTCATTTTGCTCTTTATAAAAAGCATTAAAATCTATGACAAAAAGCAATAATAATCTGCAGGTGAACATATGCATCTGCTATTACCATTTTTCATATATTCATTTCATCCAATGTTTATTAATAAACTTCATTAAGTTTGCCAAGTTATTTACTCTATGTCAAGCAGTGTGCTGGAATGTAGTTTCTGATTTTAAATAACTTACTTTCTGATGTCAGAATTACTTATAAAGTAACAAGATAGGCAATATAATTGCCAAAAATAAAAGTACTGTGGAAACAAAATACTGTTTACATTTTCCTTATATAGAATTTCACACAGAAATGAGACACTACTCTAACAAGCTCTCATATACGCATCCCTCATGCCAATCTTGTTTCTCTTTGCCAATTAACTCATTGCCATCTTGTTTCTCTTCTAAATCCACCCCTTAAGACATATTATTTCATCCATAAATATTTCAGCATATACCTCTAACAGATTAGGATCCTTTCTTTAAACATAATATGAATCTGAATTGTGAAAACTAAGTTTTGAAGATATGAAGTATAATTAACATCTAATAAAATACAGAGATCATAAGGTGTTCAATGGTGTTCTGACAATCACATTGCCCTGTGTATTCACTACCCATAACAAGATAGAATTTCCATGGCCCAGAAAGTGCCCGCACTCCCCTTTCTAGCCAATTTCCTATACCCAGACAACTACTTTCTGATCTCTATTACCATAGATCACTGGTCTGTTCTTGGACTTTATAAATGGAATCATAGAGTATGTAGAGTAAGAGGTTTCTAAGCCTAAAAAAGGGAAAATCATTCCAGGTGGAAAGAACCACAAGTACAAAATATAAAGGCACAGAAGGATATATTCATGGAATGCTGCCAAGTTCAAGAGGGTGGAAAACCAGGATTGGAAACTGATATAAGACTAGAAGAGGCTCATGGGAGAGTTACGGTTTCCAGATTAAGCCCCATAATTAATTCTAGGAACCAAATTATTTAAAATAAGCTTTTCCCAATGCCCAAAACTATTTCTCTGACCTAAAAAAATTGATCAGTTCTCAATATGCTCTATTCTCTTCAACCCTCCAGCTAAGGATGACCAAAACTGGAGCAACAGCCTACACCCATGACTCTTCACTCTCACCTTATGCCAAGTTCTCTGCCATCTCAGGGAAGGGAACAAGCCCTGCCTGCCTTTCTTATGGCAGGGTGCACTTTAAACAAGCAGTCCCAAGTCTGAGGGTGCAGCCTTACCATTATCTGGATTTCTCTCTTGCACACCTGGAGATCATGCTCATTGTTGACAAACATGCGTTTCAAGGCACATTTCATTCCATTGCTCGTCCTCACCAGAAAGACGATAGCAAATCCACCTATGAAAAAGACAAACATATAAGCTCTTTTGAGTCATGTTCAAAAAGTCAGATGACCATGGTGGCTACAGGTTGCTGCTGTCACTGTTAATGGCCCTGATGCCATCATCAGCTAATCCTAAAACTGGCCTGGCCTAGAAGGCATTCTAGATTTGTAGAACTCAGATATATTACTGTGGGATTAGTTGGCAAGAGTCAGAAAAATTGTTCCTAAACACATATGTCAGGAAGAAGGAAGAATGATAATTATCTTCTGAAGAATCTATAAATAAACAGATGAACAAAAAGATGAAGGAAAAAAGAACCAACTATGTTCCAACTACTGTCCTAGGTACTTAAGCTCTTGTTTAATTCTCACTACAATCTTGTGAGGGAACCTTACTACAATTCCTTTTAAGACAATAATTACTAGCTGAAGAAAACAGAGGCTCAAAGAGTTTAGATAGATTCAACCAAGGATTAAAAAAAAAAAAGTCCAGCACTTAACCAACAAGGTTTAGACATTATTTCAGTAATTGTTATAATAACAGTTGTCAGTTAATTTCAAGAATATTCTTCTTGTCCTTTCTTATCCCTCCTCACCCTATACCCCAACTCAAATCTAACAGTAAACCTTGACTCCTCCTACCTTCCCTACCTCGTGGGCTGCTGAGAAGACACAAAACAGAGGTGTGAAGGTGGTATTCTACATAGCAGACACTAGGCAAGGATGACTTGTTTAATGGGCAGAATTTTTATTGTCCACACTAAGCTTTCGCTAAAAGACAATGCACAGTTCATTAAAAGAAGTTGTTATAACTTTAACAGAAATTCTTAAATGCTCTGAATTTGTTATACTTTAGTGTTCCACAAATTCTTGGAACTGCTAATCTTGACTTCACTCCCTTGACACACACTGTTTGAGGTGGTCAGTGACAGTGTTACTAGGGGTCCTGCATAGATAAGGTACAGAGAATCTATACAGTTGAAGGCTTTGGGATAAATAGCAGTTACATTAGACACCTAGTGCATTTGTCAGCTCATACACCTTCATAATTTAGCTTGAACTATACTGTACACTGATCCTGGGTAACAAAAAAAATCACTAGGCTGTTCTTTGCACAGAGGTGATCACTAACTGGATGGAGGTAAACACAAAGGGATGTCATCAGTTCAGTAAGTTGAGCTGAGATTGTGGTGGACTGTTGGGGGCTAGTAGCCATGCCAAATTGATCAAGAGCAGTAAGCAGTGATTCTAGAGATCTTGGCCTGAAATACAAGACTCCAGTCCTGAGCAGTTCCACTCTAAATCCTCTGAGGCCCAGCGGCACTTCAGGACTGTCTGGTGATGTTCATGGCTTTTCCAGTTGTACCTTTACAATATTTATTCTTTTTCAAGTCAGTTTGAGTAGTTTCTGTTCCTTGCAATCAAAGAGACTTTATCACAAAACTCTGTAGCATGTTTTCACAAAATACACACAGAATTCAGTGATAAAAATTTTTTGATGTGCTCAAATGTTCCAAATGTATATTTTGACAATGACTTACCAGAGATTGCATGTTTGTATATTTCCTATTAAAATATTCATCTTCAGTATTCAGATAAACACTAAAATTTACCACAGTCTTTAATTTCAACTGTTACCTTTCTAATAGTTGTACCTTTGGAACACTTTCCATTTTCTTATCATACTTTAAAGTCCACTTATACTGCTTAATTGTCAATATAATTTTAGCATTTTTAGTGCATACTAAAAAAATGTGTTGAAAACCCTAGTGTACATAGACAAATAGAGATCACACAAAAAGACTCCTCAATTCTAAGATGCGTATTTTTTACATTTTCATTTTTAGGATATTAGAATTTTTCTTATAATAAATATGTACATTTAATGCAGAGGTATTTATCTTCCTTTCCCCCCCAAGAGTTAGTAAAGTCATGATGTGTTTTATTATCAATTAGAATTGGAGATGCTAATATAAACTATACAATTTCTATGTATATTCATAATTGTTTTGTGAACAGTTTAAATATTCATTTTATAGATAATTTGAATAAAAAAAAATTACAGAACTACTGACTGGATTAATGGTACTCCTGGAAAGCATTAGTCCAAGCAGTTTGCTTTATGGGTGCAGGACGTGAGTGAGGCTTAGCAGTCCCATGTCCAGTTATGAGCAGAACCTGGAATGATGTCACTCTCCTGATTATCCAAAAAATATTCATCCTACTTCATTCATCTTCAAGAAAAACTGTGCAATACTCCATTAGATAATAAGGAGACACTGATAGAACTGCAAAACAAAAGTTGGGAATGGCTGTTTCCTATACTAAAGGTCAAGGCAGCCCTTCCAGAAGCAGGATGACAATGTAGCAGTAACTGCCACCAGATGGGAGCAGTGTAGTTTTCTTTGCTAGAAAAGTTAAGAACTTTCCAGCCAGAACTGAAATGTATCAGATGCAAGCACAACTGGTTGTGAAGAGCCAGCCCAGATTCTCAAAGCTTATGACCATCACAAATCTAACAGCAAAGAAATAACCCACTATGCCTAACAGATGGAACCATGTTATTAAGCATCTATGCCCACAAAAGGGCTTATTTGCAGGTGAGAAGCATTTAAATCAGGGCTCCTTGATCATGAGATCAAAATTGAAGCCTGAGATTTGTCAGCTCAACAATGTTGGTCACTATCACTGTACAGCGGACCAAATGGAGATGTAAATTACTAGGTAGAAAAAAGAAGGGAGATGGCACCACCGAAGACACTCCCCCAGCATGTCCACCACACATATCAGGCTAATAAGATTCTCAGCCACAGCTCACTAGGGTTCAGGCAATTACAGAAGGCAACTATAGGACTGTCTAGCAAATATGTCATTTTCATATCAAGTTGCAGCCTATGGTCTTGATTAAATGGAAAAATCTAAAGCTGAGGTAGGGGTGGCTTGGACAGAGGTAAAAAGACAGGATAACATTTATTAGAGCTTTTGCCAGTCTCTCTGCCTACTGGCATTTTTTTGAAAATCTAAGATAATCTTTATGAATTTATTGGAATCCATTTTTGGGGGAAGTTCATAAATTTACTGTAATCACAAAGGGGAAAAGGATCCAATCCATTCTGGTAAAGAAATGATAGGCAGGGTAATTTTTCCATAGGCACAACTTTTGCTCTTAAATATGTAGGAATATTTTTCTACTTCTGCAAAGAAATATGCTTTCTCCCACTTTCCCTAAAATATATAAATATATATAGCACCCTTGGTCTAACATTCTTGGCCTAGTTATCAAAGATGTGGATGGATTCTCACTCTGAGAATTACAGATTTTGTCTTTGGTTCCCCTCTGTATCTTTAGGCCCTAGAATAGTGCCTAACACATAGTAGGTTCTCAAACGTGAATTAACTTTTCTCTTAATATTACTACAGAACATAGAAAAGGCTACAGAGAGTGGTGGAGAATATGGTAAACTAAAGTGCATGGCCCACGTAAAGAACAGCTACCACACAAGTCCTGGTAATTGTTGCCACCCAAATTTTATGCGAAATTGCCAGATTTAAACACGGGCAAGAAGTCATATTTTAAATTAACACTGGACAGGCTTATACTGTACAGGCTAAAAGAAATCTGAAAGGTTTTAGATAGTCTCTGAAACTACAGTTCTCTACCTCTGATCTACTTTAAGCCTCTTATCTTACGGATGGCCAGAGAGTGGAACTGCTACAGACCATGGTACACAAAGCTAAAGGATGACTTGCCAATAAACTCATACATTGGCTATCAGTTCTTGACTCTTCCCTGAAGAGGAGTTTATGGAGTACTGCCCCCACCTAACATTTGTATATGACTTTATACTTTTTCAAAGGCATTTCAAAATAAATTATTTAATTTATATTTTCATAATAAAGACTGAATGAAGTACATAGATTACTTATGTCTCCATTTTCCTGACAGAAAAGAAATGTAGAGAGATTAAGTTCTTTTTACAAGAACACATACAGCTAGTTAGTGGGAGAGCTCAGACTGGATTCCTCATCATTTTAAATTTGGTTTTTAAATTAACTTTACATATAATACACTGCCCCTTTTAAGTGTACAGTATAATGAGTTTTCACAACTATACACATTCTTCTAACCATCACCACAATCAATCAAAGCAAACAGTTCTCGTGTCTCTGTAGGCATCTCCCCTCACGCCCATCCCTTCTCCTGCAACTTCTGATCTGCCTTCCAACCTATACATTAGTTTTGCTTGCTGCAGAATAAATCATAGTGTGTACTCTTGTGTCTGGCTTCTTTCATTGAATAAAGTATTTCTGAGATTCATCCTCATTGTTACATGTATCAATAGTTTCTTTAAACTGCAGACTAGTATTCCAGTTAGTTTATCCATTCATCTATTGAAAGACATTTGAATGGTTTCTAGTTTGGGTTATTATCATAAATAAAATGTTCATATAGAAGCCCTTTTTTTGTGGACAGAAGTACTTATTTCTCTTAGGTAAATACCTAGGAGTGGAATTGCTGGGTCATATGGTAAGTGTACATTCAGCTTTATAAGAAACTGATAGTTCTTCACAATGGTTATACCGTTTTGCACTCCCAACATGTGAGAGTCCTACATACCCATCAACACTTGGTATTGTCAATCTTTTTTTTTTTGGCATTCTAGTGAGTGTGTAGTGATATTTCATTGTGATTTTAATTGCCATATCCCTATAGCTCCTTCATCATTTGAACTCCCAGATTAGTTGCTTCCCACTGCTTTCTGATAGAAGGCTTTAATAAGCATTGACCATGGAGTCACCAATGAAATTACTGAGATAACTTCAATATCTATCTCTCAAAGATGACAACATTAAGTGCCTAGCTCTTTCCTGGGAGAAGATGGCAAGTGAGAATTTCTATACACAGAGGGGAGATTACATAATCTCTGAAATCTCAACTCTGACATTAACAAAGATGTGGTTGTCAACATCATTATCATAACTCTGGACATTATCAACGCTGGACAAGTTACTG